AACCAAGATGGGGGTAGGTACTGTTTCGTATATCCGAGGATTTTAGAAGATCCAAAAACACTAAATCTGATCGAAAGGCCGATCAGCCTTATGCGAATTGTCAGATATAGGATGATTAAATTGGCTTGCCTACAACTCTTTGAGGTGCTCTGCATACCGGGCTATCTGAGGATAATTCTGTTTTCTTTTAAGGGTTTAATCTCCGGCCTAGACGATAAAAATGCTAACAACGGGATATTCCACCTTACACCAGGGCTGAACGTCATGCCGTTTAACGTCCATTTTTGACCAATTTTTGCCGTTTTGCGTTTGGCGAGTTTTCAAAATTTAAAAAATTGGCGTTTTGCGTTTGGCGTTTCCTTGTGAAAATTTTGGCGACAGCACTACCTAGCACAATAATAAACTCTAATAATAAATTTTAATAATAAAATTAATAGAAACAAAGAAATTAACTACGAAAATGAACATAAAAATTAAATTTAATTTAAAAAATAATATTAAATTTATGGCTCTATACATATTTATTTCGTAACAAAATAATTTTGACATAAATTGGTATGAAAAACAAACGGCATGAAAAAGTTTTTTACTAAGAAAAATTAGAAAAAAATGACACTTTTCCCTCAAAAATATATTGTCTATGTATAAATGAATATAATTGAATGAGTGAATATTGTGTTGGTTGAAGCGCAAAAAAAGAAAAAATACATATAAGGTTTTTCCATGCTTTTATTAGCGAAAAAGTAAATTAGTAATTCTGTGCCAGTAAATAAATAAAAAAAATATTTTTAGTTAAAAGTTTTGTCTTTATTTTAATAGATAGGCACTAGTACATATAAATATTATTTTAGTACATTAGTGATGCTCGGGAGAAGAAAAAACCCGGGAATCGGGAAACGGGAGTCGGGTCGGGAAATGACCTCGGGAGTCGGGATCGGGAGTCGGGAATTAGCAATAAAAAATTTTCCAAAAATTCTAGAAATTTTTGGCGCCTTCGGCGCCAAAATTTCCGATTTTTTGCACCGCAGGCAAAAATATTGAAAATTTTGGGAGGTAAAAAAGCCTTACTAGCGCCGCAGGCGAAAATTTTGAGAATTTTTAGGTAAAGAAGTAAGATTTCTTATATTTTTTGCGCCGCAGCAAAAATTTTGACTCTCATTGGAGTGAAATAGAAAGGGGTCTTGAACGATCTTTAACGGTAACTTAAGAGTTTATTTCCCCGATTATTTGGAAAAATAAGCCAACAGCCTGTCCAAAAAACCTAGTAACCGCAAAGATAATCAGTGTTGGGTATTCCTGGGGACTTTTTCTTTGAGCCAGAGCCCAGCTTTGATTCATAGTCCTTAGAATTAACCTTAAGTCCTTAGAATCTCTCCATTGGAGTGAAATAGAGGAAAAAAGAGTAAAACAGAGAAAAATATTTTTACGTTCAATTTTGGTGGAATTTTTTGAACTAGCCACATATCTCTTCATATCCTCTATATAGTACTAACACCCCCTATGCAACATTAGTCATCCATAGATAGGTATCTCTCTTTATTACTGCAAATCCCTCGTTATCTCTTTTAATTCACCAAAATTCTAGTAAATCACCGAAATCTGCTATACTACACCTCCACAGATAATTCAATTTTCAGCGCCGCAGGCGAAAATTTTGAGATTTTGTGAAGATCCTTAAGCCAAAAATCTTCCCTTTTCAGCGCCGCAGGCGAAAATTTTGGGAATTTTAGAAGACCAAGAGGCCAGATTTCTTCATTTTTTATAAATGAAAATATGTATAATTTTGTCAGAAAAATCCATTCTTAGGGGTGTAAAAATTTCCCGACTTAGTCGGGAATTGACACCGGGAGTCGGGATCGGGATCGGGAGGCCAAAAACTCGGGAAATTTTCCCGAGTCGGGAGTCGGGATCGGGATACCCGAGCATCACTATAGTACATGCGTATTTATTGAATTGTTCCAAGTGTATTTTTTATTAGGATATAAGTACTTGTATTTTTTTTTTTAAAAAAATGTTTTCGTGACTTTGATTTTAAAATTAATTAAAAATAAAAAAATAAATAAATTCAATTCTAGTTAATAATCTTTTTATAGCTGTTAACTAGAACAGTCGTGTTGGGGACGAAGTAAAAAATTTTGGGAGTGTCGGATCTGGATTGGAGTATCGGAGATGGGTCGGCGTATTTTGGCATGTGTCTGAGTCAGGGCTTGTGAGTTTTTTGACTTGCGGATTGCGTTTGCTGTTTTTAAAATTAAAACTCTGGTTACGGATTTTTTTTCGTTTGCGCCCAACCCTGGTTGGAGTAATACAAAAAAAAAGTTTTAGTTGGTTAAAGCTACAGAAATTAGCAGTCAGTTGAAATGATAATAGAGAAGATGCGTAGGGATGTTCCAAAAAAATTGATGATAAGCTTTAACTCCATTATCATCCACTGAAAAGAATTCTGAATTTAATTGTACATTGTTAAAAACTTTCTTGACAACAAAACAAAAAAATAATCCTTAAAGCAAAGTTAAGGATTATTATTATTGTTTTACTTAAAAGCTACATATCCATCTATTTTTAGTATCACTAATTTGAAAACGAAGAAATTTGAACTCAATAAAATAAAAAAAAACAAATTTAAAATTTTTGTTAGATTACATACAAAAATTAGAATTATTTCACTACGTCATTTTCACTTTATTTCCGCCTTACTCAATACATAATAAGTTGACAAAGTTGGAAGTGACGAAGAATGTTCGTTAGAAGGACGAACAAGGAAATGACGAATAATGAATATAAGTAGTCGATCCATCAGAATTTGACATATGTAGGAGTACACGCTCCACATTTGAGAAATATATATTTTGTCAATAAGTTATCGGATCCGAATATCCGCATCCGAAAAAGGCCGGATATCCGGAAATTTTTGGTTCGGATATCGGAGTTCCAAGTATCAGAAAACTTATTGGGCAATACTCACTAGTGTATTTACTTTAACAAATATCAACAATTTTAATATACCCTTTATTTAGTACGGGTAACTAAAATGAGCCTCATTTTGGAGTATGTACATAAGGATCAGTTTTAGAAAGTGTTGAGAAAAAGCTGAGACAGGGTTTTCAAAAATTTTCGAGTCAAGTTTCAAGTTGAAAATAGTCTGTGTTTCGGATATACGGGTTTGGGTAAGTAATATCCCTGAACCCGTCCCATCCTTTCCTATCCCTGATTAAATGATTCGATTTTATACTAATTTAAAAAAATTAAAAATATTATTTTTAATATATTATGTATTGTTTTTCTGTCATGTGTTTTTGATAAATTAAAGTATCATTCTAAATTTTTTTTATTAGAAATTTTTTTATTAAAAATAAAATTAAAAAGACAAAAAATTTATTTTGGTTATTGTTGTCGTTGTTTGTGTGAAAACAAAAATTCTAAAAAAAATATTTATAATAGCTTTTTCTCAAAATTTAAAGAGGAAATAAATTTTTAATTTAAAAATAAATTGAATTTATAAATAAATTTTTCAAAATTTATTTTTCTTATAAGATGGGTACATTCATAAATTTAAAAATATATTTAATAATCATATAAGTTAAATAGAAAGTTGCTTTCAAATAGAGGCTGCCATTCTATTTTAAGGATGAATCATCATTAAGGTTAAAATGTTTAAAACGAGAAAAGGGAAAAGGAAAATTTTGACTTCTTGCTCATTCAAAATTCCCAAAATTTTTACAATTGGAAAGGAACAAGTCTAGCACACTATCCGCCACATTGTTGTTACCTCTCGAAAAATTATTCCCGAGTGTTCCCTCCTCAAAGAACATTGTTTACTACATTAATGAAAATTAAATAGGATACGTATCCGGATATCCCGGATTTCCTAGGATCTGTAAACCTAAAGAGTCAGATCAGGTGGTTTGTATGTGTCCTTCCCGGTGTCTCCGATGTTTTTGAATAAACTCTAATTCCGTTAAATCTTTCAATATATGCTTTAAAATTATTTAAAAATTCCTTTCTATTTTAAGAATTTGTCAAAATATTTTCAAAATATTTTTTATTTATTTTTATGTCAGGTGAAAAGTTCACATTCATTTAGCTCTTACTTGGCTATTTAAATTTAAAAAATATTTTAAAGCCTTCTGACAAAATAAAAAAATTTCTAAAAATAGAATTTAGTTTACATTTTTTAATTTAATTTTAAGTGACCACACAATTTTATTTTTTTATACCTAAATATTTGCATAAATCAGCTGCCAAAGTACTTTAATTTTACTTTAAAAGGATTTAAATTTTTATAAAATTTAATTCAAAATTTGAATAATAAAATTAAATTTTTTAGATAATAAAATGAATAAAAAATTATTTTTGTTAATAATCACAACATTAATTATTTCAACAGGTAAATAATTTTACTGAAAATAATACTTTATCACACGAATTAATAAGGTTAAAAAATTAATTAATTAAAAAAGAGCAATAAATATAAGGGTAATTTGGTAAGTTAAATCCGGATATCCTGATAAGAAATGTCCGGATATTCAAAAAATTTTTGGTTACGATAATGAATCCGTATATCTGAAGATTTCCTAGACTTTGTGAACCCTAGCCACCCATGAAGAAAATTAATAGCAAAAATCGAACTAGGTATATTTGCTCAAGAAAGGGATAATGAAACCGTAATAGTACATATCTACCTGCTAACAAAAAACCGAAAATTTTTTGAGACAATTGAGGAAGACTTATGAAAAATGGAAAAGGTGATCGTAAGAAATCCTCTGACATCCAGATTCGGATTCGATATCTGAACAAAAATATTTGGACTTTATTTTTCTGGATCCAGATCAGAATGAAGGCTCTTCTAATATTAAACCTTTTTCTAATGACTTGTCTAGCACATTACCTAATTTTATGTACTTTTGGATTTATTTCAAGCAATAAACTTGTACCCGTTGTTGCTAGGAATAAATTATAAATAAAAAATTTAATATTTCAGCAGTTAACGCTCTTTCAAAGCACGATCAGAAAGTAATTGTAGATTGTCATAACAATTATCGTTCTCAACTTGCTAATGGAAAAATACAAAATCACACAGGACATATGCCCCAAGGGGCTAATATTAGACAATTGAGTTATAGCAAAGAAGTTGAAGCATCAGCCGCAAAATGGGCAGAAAAATGTACAATAAGCCATTCTCATGGAAATTATGGCGAAAATCTTTTTATGTCATCAAATCCCAAAACAAAAACTGGTAAAAAATAAATTTACTAGTGGAACACATTATAAGATTCACGTTTGGCTTATAATGAGGGTTACCTTAAATAGAGGGTTAAAATTGTACATATCTTATAATGAGAGATACCTTAAATAGAGGGTATCGTTTAGGCATTAGCTTATCCAGGATCTCATGTAAGATAAACCTTTGGGGCTGGAAATTGAGTCTTAGTATGAGAGGTGCATTAAATAGAGAGCCTATCTTTTAAGCGGGGGGGGGGGGGGGATCTAAATAAATAAATTAGTTGGGCTTCGGATCGAGGTTTCAAAATTTTCTTCAGATTGGGTTTCAGATTTTGGGTCAAAAAAGGTCTGGATTTCGGGCCTCGGATTTCAGTAATCCGGGTTTGGGTTCATTGCTACCTAGTGGTCATCAAGTTAACTGAGGCTTATCGAATATTAGGGTGTATTTTATAATGAAATCCGATCTAAAAGCTTACTAAAATTAAATAAATTTTTAGCCGATGCATTAACCTATGCCTGCAATGCCTGGTGGGCAGAAGTAAAAAATATAGGGATTCAAGGAAATTTAATTATGGACAAAAGCCTCCCAGGAAATGGACACGCAACTCAAATGGCGTGGGCTACTACCACACAAATTGGTTGCGCTCTGGCTAGATGTCCGGGCTCCTATACAACTCATCTAATCGTTAACTCATCTATTCGTTAACTCATCTACACGGCCAAAAAGGGTTAACTCATCTAATCGTTAACTCATCTATTCGTTAACTCATCTACACGGCCAAAAAGGGTTAACTCATCTAATCGTTAACTCATCTAATCCTTAACTCATCTACACGGCCAAAAAGGGTTAACTCATCTAATCGTTAACTCATCTAATCCTTAACTCATCTACACGGCCAAAAAGGGTCAACTCATCCAATCCTTCGGAACGAGACTATTAAGTACCGGCCGGTTGAGTCCATGGCCAGTAGCAAATGGCCATGGACTCAACTGGTCATGGACTCAACTGGTCATGGACTCAACTGGCCATGGACTCAACTGGTCATGGACTCAACTGGTCATGGACTCAACTGGTCATGGACTCAACTGGCCATGGACTCAAACGGCCGGAGACTCAGATGGCCAAAGACTCAAACGGCCGTTACTCAATAGTCTCGTTTCGAAGGATTGGATGAGTTGACCCTTTTTGGCCGTGTAGATGAGTTAAGGATTAGATGAGTTAACGATTAGATGAGTTAACCCTTTTTGGCCGTGTAGATGAGTTAACGAATAGATGAGTTAACGATTAGATGAGTTGATCCCTTTTTGGCCGTGTAGATGAGTTAAGGAATTTTAGCCGTTTAGATGAGTTGAACGTTTTTGGCCGTGTAGATGAGTTAACGAGTAGATGAGTTAACCGGACACGGATGTCCGGCATCAAAATGGAAAACTTATCTTGTTTGTCAATATAATCCCTAGTTATTTTTTTAATTTAAAAATTATTTTTCAAAAAATTTTTAGCGGAAATGTTATTGGAAGGACAATTTATGAAAAAGGAAAACCATGCAGTGGTTGTGGTAATAATAAATGTAATTCTAATGGATTATGCAAATAAATGATTAATTAATGGAAAATGCTTATTGATGATTTAAAAAAGAAAAATACATAAAATTTTTATTTAAAAAATGGAGTATATATTTAAATCAGATACTCTTTTGTAAGCTGAAAATACAATAATAAATTTTTAAATCCAGAGATGATTAGACGAAATAAATATTTTTATTGTATTTGTGATTTGAATTCTTTTTAAATTCCACTTGGAGCCGAAAAATTGACAAATGTAAGAATAAAAATTTTTATTTTTAGAAAAAAACATTGTCTGAATCATATTTACCAATCATGGATTCGAACCTTTTTCACTTAATTTGTCTCTAAAACTTTTTTTCTAATTTATTTTTATCCGGATCAGGGTGGCCTTTTTATTCTATTTAAAAAATTTTCCCTATTTTTGATCTTTTCGCCCCATTTTTTCCCTATTTTGTACATTTGCCATATTTTGCCCTATTTTTATCAATTTTTAAAATTTCAAGATGACGACAGTCATCTTGACGTGGTCGTGGTCGGCGACAGTCATCTTGACGTGGTCGTGGTCAACGACCGAGGTCGTGGTCTACGACGGCCATCTTGACGTGGTCGTGGTTGACGACCGTGGTCGTGGTCGACGATTGTGGTCGTGGTCTACGACGGTCATCTTGACGTGGTCGTGGTCGACGACCGTGGTCGTGGTCGAAGACAGTCATCTCGACGTGGTCGTAGTCAACGACCGAGGTCGTGGTCAACGGCAGTCATCTTGACGTGGTCGTGGTTGACGACCGTGGTCGTGGTCGACGATCGTGGTCGTGGTCTACGACGGTCATCTTGACGTGGTCGTGGTCGACGACCGTGGTCGTGGTCGAAGACAGTCATCTTGACGTGGTCGTGGTTAACGACAGTCATCTTGACGTGGTCGTGGTCGACGACCGTGGTCGTGGTCGACGATCGTGGTCGTGGTCTACGACGGTCATCTTGACGTGGTCGTGGTCGACGACCGTGGTCGTGGTCGAATACAGTCATCTTGACGTGGTCGTGGTTAACGACAGTCATCTTGACGTGGTCGTGGTCGACAACCGTGGTCGTGGTCGACGACAGTCATCTTGACGTGGTCGACGACCGTGGTCGTGGTCGACGACAGTCATCTTGACGTGGTGACGACCGTGGTCGTGGTCGACGACAGTCATCTTGACGTGGTCGTGGTCGACGACCGTGGTCGTGGTCGAAGACAGTCATCTTGACGTGGTCGTGGTCTACGACGGCCATCTTGACGTGGTCGTGGTTGACGACCGTGGTCGTGGTCGACGATTGTGGTCGTGGTCTACGACGGTCATCTTGACGTGGTCGTGGTCGACGACCGTGGTCGTGGTCGAATACAGTCATCTCGACGTGGTCGTAGTCAACGACAGTCATCTTGACGTGGTCGTGGTCGACGACCGTGGTCGTGGTCGACGACAGTCATCTTGACGTGGTCGACGACCGTGGTCGTGGTCGACGACAGTCATCTTGACGTGGTCGTGGTCGACGACCGTGGTCGTGGTCGACGACAGTCATCTTGACGTGGTCGTGGTTAACGACAGTCATCTTGACGTGGTCGTGGTCGACGACCGTGGTCGTGGTCGACGACAGTCATCTTGACGTGGTCGACGACCGTGGTCGTGGTCGACGACAGTCATCTTGACGTGGTCGTGGTTAACGACAGTCATCTTGACGTGGTCGTGGTCGACGACCGTGGTCGTGGTTGACGACCGTGGTCGTGGTCGACGATTGTGGTCGTGGTCTACGACGGTCATCTTGACGTGGTCGTGGTCGACGACCGTGGTCGTGGTCGAAGACAGTCATCTCGACGTGGTCGTAGTCAACGACCGAGGTCGTGGTCAACGACAGTCATCTTGACGTGGTCGTGGTCGACGACCGTGGTCGTGGTCGACGACAGTCATCTTGAAGTCAACGACCGAGGTCGTGGTCAACGGCAGTCATCTTGACGTGGTCGTGGTCGACGACCGTGGTCGTGGTCTACGACGGTCATCTTGCGTGGTCGTCGACCGTGGTCTTGGTCAACGACAGTCATCTTGACGTGGTCGTAATCAACGAAAGTCATCTTGACGTTGTCGTGGTCAACGACAGTCATCTTGATGTGGTCGTAGTCAACGACAGTCATCTTGACGTGGTCGTGGTCGACGACCGTGGTCGTGGTCGAAAACAGTCATCTTGTCGAAAACAGTCACGACAGTCATCTTGACGTCGTCGTGGTCAACGACAGTCATCTTGACGTGGTCGTAGTCAACGACCGAGGTCGTGGTCAACGGCAGTCATTTTGAAGTGGTCGTGGTCGACGACCGTGGTCATGGTCGATACAGCTTTATCTTGATCTGCTCAATTTAGTTAAAACTATTCGAAAACATGCGGAATGAAGATTTTTATTCAAAATTTTAATTATTTTTATATTTTTAAAATAATTCCCTATTTTTTGCCCTACTTTTGACCAGTTTTCCCTATTTTTTCCCTATTTTTGAGTACCTGCGCCCTATTTTAGTGGTTTGGAAAAGGCCACCCTGATCCGGATATTATCCGTATCAATGTGTAAGTCTGTTTGAAACCTTTAATATTTGTACAGACTGATTTTGAAATTTATAATAAAGGGATTAAAAACGAATATTCGTCCGGAAAATATTTTATACAAAAGATTAAATAATTACAAATTTAACAAAAAAAAAGTAAAGCATAAATTTTAAATAGATAGTAAAAAAATTTTTTGTGCGTATCTTTAAATATTTGGGTTTTTTTATTTTTGTTGATTTTTCCTTTTTTTGATTTTTAAAATTTATATGTAGCGACAAAAGTCCGCCAACCAAATCGGCACTATCAGATAAATTTTAACTACTAGACTAGTTTATGAAGATTTTCCAAGTCAATCCCTCCAAATACACTCTTTTTTAATTCCTCATTAAACTCCTTAACCTCCTCAGGCATACTTATTTCCAATCTACCCTGACAACGGAACGGACATGATTTGTGGTTTGCTGATTCGGATGATTTAAACCATTTAGATATACATTCCCAATGGAAGTAATGATTACATTTAGTACGTGCAATGTCGTCGTCTTTTTTAAAATTTTTAAGACAGATTGAACAATTTTTTTGATTGGTCTTTACTGCTGCTTTAAACATCTCTTTCAGTTTTTTCTTGAATGAAATCAAATTATGAAGTTATAAAAAAGTTTTGGAAAATTTCGTCTTTAGTCCCGGAAACCGATTCAAACAAATAATATGTTATTTGACACCAAAATTAGGTCCTGGCCTCACTCATGGACCGAGATATAGGGCTCGAAATGGTCGAAAACTATAGGGGGAGTAAGCTCAATTTAAGCTCAGGGCTCACCATTATAGATCTAAACCCCTGTACTAGATTTTCTCATCAAATTTGAATTTCCAGGACCACACTTTTAGGTTTTCAGTTTGAAATTATTTTTTATATAAAATAATTACTTTTTACAGTCGGATCTACTCTTACATAGTCTGAGAAAGTGTGAACTTTAATCTTATAGAGAGTCTTGGTTTCTAATAAAAAAATTTTTAGTTGAATTTACTAAACTATTTTATGAAGCTTCTCCAAATCAAAACCACCAATACCACTATTTTCTAATTTCTCATTTAATTTTGTTACTTTTTCATGTATAATTATTTCCATTTGATGATTACACAAAGGACATAAGCGACCTTCGTTTTGTGAAATTTGTTGTTCGTTTTGTGACTTTGGTCGAAACTTTCGTTGAATCCTTTTCGATATATATCTCCAAAAGGCGAAATGTCCGCATCCACTCATCGAAGGAGTTCGGAGCAGTTCAACTGAGTCCGCACGATTGAGTCCCCACGATTGAGTCCGCACGATTGAGTCCCCACGATTGAGTCCCGGCACAATTGAGTCCCCACGATTGAGTCCGCACGATTGAGTCCCCCTTGTATATACCTCAATTGAGTCCCCGTGGATTTAATAAGTTTAAAATTTCCATATCCGACATGCGGGATTATTCCAAAATTTCTATTTTTTAAAGTATAAATGCCGGACAGACCACCTGTGCACCCCTGCTGCACCCCACATACCCTCCGTAGCAGCACAAAACAGTTTTCCAGCGCAGTTTCAGTTGGTCATAACTTTGTTCAGAATCATTGAATCAAGCTGATTTTGATGTCATTCGACTCAGCTCGTCGAGCCCTTTCGAATGAGGTATAATTTAATATTCGAATTTTTTGTCCCCAAAAATCCCCCGTGGATTTGACCATTTCGAGTCCCATATCTCGGCGAGAACCATGTTGATTTTTGTGTCATTCGACTCAGCTCATTCGAATGAGCTGTCATTCAAAAAATCTCTCGATATCCCTCCTAATCCCCAAATCCACAATATCCACCCATATCCCCCTTAATCGCTTAAATCTACTTATATCTCTTAATATTCACCGATATCCAACTTGATCCCTCGATGTCACATACAGGTCCCCTGATGTTCACTTTAATCCCCCCAAATCCCCAGATATCCCTCTTAATCCTTTTTAATATAATTAAATCCACGGGGACTCAATTGAGGTATATACAAGGGGGACTCAATCGTGCGGACTCAATCGTGGGGACTCAATTGTGCCGGGACTCAATCGTGGGGACTCAATCGTGCGGACTCAATCGTGGGGACTCAATCGTGCGGACTCAATTGAGGTGTACCGGAAGGAGTTGACTCCGTTGACTCAGATGACTTCTGTTTCGATCCTTTTAATAGGCAGTCCCAATGGAAGTAATGCCCACATTTAGTAAGCTCAATATCGTCATCCTTTTTAAAATCTGCATGACAGATTGCACATGCCTTCTGACCCTTCTTAACATTTTGAAATACGATCAGTTTCATTTTTTTCTTAAATGAGATTTAAATTTAAATTGATAATTTAATAATTGTATATTTTTTTATCGAATCTCTATTTGAATATTGGGCTCTATTGAAAAATACATAGACCATGAGGCCAATAGCCCTAAAAAGTTGAAGTAAAATCTGAGCTCAAGGATTAAGTTATTTGTCAAAACAGTTATGTATATATTCTAGGGTCCGGCATTTACGATGAGGTGGTTGTTTCACGAGAACGGGGACGGTGGATCATCTAAAAGCTGTCCCCGGTGACGGGGGTTGAACCCTAATTTATTCCACCAACTATGATCAGTGAAACGTAGTTTTTCTGATTCCCCCACCGTACAGGCCTAAAACTAAAAGGTTTGGATTTGGAAGCATATTTACTCATATATTTTTGAATACTAAATTTTTCTCAGTAAATTAAAAATGTCTATCGAAAGATAACTAATAAACTTTCAATTTTCCAGACTATCTTGTAGAACGCTCAACAATTAATAGGTTTCCGTATGATAACTTATAGCTATGATTAGCTTACCAAACAATTATTCTTAATTTCGTTTCTAACTTTATCCATATAATTTTCACAATATTCCTTAATTTCATTAATCGCTGATCTGTCATTTATCATTTTATTCTTTATCTCTTCTATTTGATTTTCAGCCACACCTTTATCTTCTAATGACTTATTTATAATCATATGACACTAAAATATACAATTTAAATAAATCCATAATCTCTTTATGATTTAAAATTAAAATTGAAATTAGTGTTTTTGAAAATAACTGGATTTCGGAATACGGGAAACAGGTCAACTGCCAAAATCGAAGCCTTCGATCAAATTATTTCAAGCTAAATTTGATCAGACCTTCGATTTTCTATATAAAAGTTAAATTATATTGTTATAAAATTTTGATAAATGAAAAATATTCTCATTGAAAAAATCCCTATTCTATTAAAAAGCGCAGTAGTCAAACCGAATATAGGTATGTTATAGAAATTTTGGATATAGTGTAGTCTGCCGGGATAAAAGTTCGGTGCATGACATATGTCATTCGATTCGTCTCGACGAGCTGAATCGAACGGTAACACTCCCGAAAAATTGAAAAACCATAGGGGGAGTAATCTGATTTTTGGGGTGCATTACAATACAGCCGAAATTTTAAAAAACATATAATAAATAGACCTGGTCAAGAATGGAAGAATGTTCTTGTGGTGTTCTATAAATTCTCAAAAGACAAATCAAATACTTATGGTATTCTTCAAAAGATTTCGAGCTATATTTTTTAACCAATTTAGAAAATATATCACGATCTTTATAGCCATATTCTTTATTTGAAGATTCACCCCCGCCGCTTGAAATTGAAGGTAAAATTTGAATAAATGTTAAAATGACAAAAAGATTAAATGTTTTTGACATTTTGAATGATTCAAGTTTTTAACTATGAAATTAAAATAAAAGATTATTTTACTATTAAGCGATTCAATGTCAGTGTCAAAAATTTTTAGTAAATAGCGATACCGTGAGCGCACTCCCGTTTCTGAGCAGGGATCGGTTTCGCGTCGTTATTCCAGAATCACGATCTGATATTATTTACAATTTTAAAAGGTGAGATTTAGGCTCAACTTTAGGGCATGCGTCCCATGGGCTTTTATGCGTCCCATCAAAGTATAAGCGTCCCAAAAATTGTATATGCGTCCATTTCTCAAATTTTTCATCTACGGTGAAAAGTTGAGTCCAATGAATGGATAAGAGGGATTAGAAGTAATTAAGAATGATTTATGGGATTAACAGAGATATCTAGGGATATGCGAGGAGGATTGAAGCGATAAAGTGGGGTTAGAGGGATAAATTAAATTGTCTATGAGATTTTGCGGTATTAAGAGGGCCTACGTTCAGAAGAAAGTTTAGCAAAAAAGGAAAAAAAACTAGTCAAAAAAAGAAAGGCAAAGGAGTAGAATAAAGCTAAAAATGATTTTTACAGAAATGCCTTTAAGGAAATGTGTGTAGCTAGCTGGATATAAACCGAATCAAATTAATAGAAGGGGGTAATTATTTGAAGGAGAGGGCAATTATGTGAATAAATATGACATTTGAATTAGCTATTAATTACATAATTAAAATCATTAAAATGAATAAGAATATAAAAATAAGTGTCTATAAACACAGTCGTCGCCGCGACTGTGTTTAATAATTTTCGAAAGAATGCCCTTTACATTATGCATGCCCTTTACATATTTCAAAAGCATGCCCTTTACATATTTCAAAAGCATGCCCTTTACAAATTTGCTAATTTCTCAATAATTAACATGTAATGTAATTATAATATGGCGCGGAGTTTTAAGTTGTAAAAGATTTCATTTAGGTTGCCAAATTGGAGAAACAAAGTGGCGGCCTTTTATTGAGGATGGATTTTTTTCGCTGCCGGGAGTACCGAAGATTCCCATTACCGACGAGTATCTAGGAAAAATTTTCGGTAGCACCGAGGTATTTCTGTACTGAAAAAAAGGCATTATATACCAAATTATTGCTTAAACCTTTCCTCACTAAATCACATAAACCGATAAAAAAATTATAATCTAATTATATGAGATAATTATGTAACATTAATCTTGTCCGGGAATCTTGAAAGGATATTGTGGGATTATGAACGATTAATAGAGATATAGATGGATTTTGAGAGATAACGTTGGAGTTGATGGATATAAGGGATATCATCGGATTTTGGCAGATATAATGAAATTATAAGGATATAGAAAAAATCGAGAGACAATGTATGATTAATGGAGATATCGTTGGAGGATACCAGATGATTTTAATGGGTCTTAATTTAATAATCCATCATTATATACCCATAAACTTTTTATCACTCTATATCCCTCTTACTATTCATCATCGATATCCTGCTCTATCCATCAATATCATCTCCAAATTCTTGTATCTTCCCTCTTAATCTCCTCAAATCCGCCGATATTATTAACATCTGCGATATCAAGAGATTTGGAGGATTAATACTCCGGTATACGTCTTAAACCTCAAATCGGTGATAACAGGAGATTTGAGGAATGGTAGAGGAATTGAAGGGGAATTTTTAATTTTTTACATTACTTATCAGTTTGTATTTTTAAATTTATTGTTCTTTTTCTAAAAATTTGTTAAAATTTATTATAAATAGCCTGAGTATGAGATTAATGTGAAAGATGATCCAGTAAATAACACATTCAAGACCCTCAAATTTTTTAGTATATCACCATGCTTGACAATATAATATTATTTCCTAAGGCTATGCAGTAGGCGTCGTGGTGTAATGGAAAACACATCAGTGCTTTACTAACTAAAGGAGAGCTGCTTTACTATTATATCAAACAATAAATTAATCACAAAAATATTTTTATCAATAATAATTTCTTAATTATAAAAATCTAATAGTAATTGATGAAATAAAAATAAACATATCCTTTTTTGTATATCAATTAGAGATCGAAAATTAAAGTTAAAAATTTTTCAAAGTTCCACCAATAATTTCAACTAGTATCCATAATTTCTTCAATTAAAGGGGGCGGGATATCAGAATTTAAAATTTCTGGTGAATTTATTTCTTCGATTAAATTGTTGTTTTCTATCTAGAAAATTATTTAAAATATTTTTTAATTAAATAATTTATTTACTTTAATATTTGGAGAAAATGAAGAAAAGTCGGGGCTTTGTAAACCCTCAATATTTTGGCAAGATATTGTTGAAGTATTTTGTTTTTGAGCTAAATGGCTCTGAAAAAGGTTTAATGAGGATTATTAGAAATAGCTAAATGAGATGAACATAAAATTTAAAAGGATTTTTTTGGTTAGATGGGAGCTTCTCTAGAGACCTTAAAATGTATAGACCCGCTCTTAATTTTTTAATTTCCCTTTCTATAAAATAAAAATTTATATAACGTATTTAAGTTCGATAGCTAATTGAACGTATTAATTAATTTGTTCAGAAACTTAAGTCCGCAAAAGTTATGATAACTCAAACGCAAGTTCGGAACGTATCCCGCAGTTGATTAATAACTGGGTTCTTAATGTTAACCCGTCCAGCCTCCTTAAGTCCTTTCCCAAAATATGAACTTCAGTTACTTGTTGTCTAAGTAATTGCATTCTTGCAGCTTTCCTTTTTTGTTGTTGTTGGTGTTGATATTGCTGTTGTAAACGGGAAGCTTTTAAAACGGGTTTTTCATAAACTGTAATTAATTCGGATGAAGGAGAAGATGTGCCAACATCGGAAGGATTGCTAAAAGATTTTTTTAACTTTTATGAATAAGTTGGGGTTTCTTGTAGAAAAAATCTTGCAAACATTTTTTATAAAGTTAATTTACTACAATTGTGATCGTTTTTAATTAACCTTGAGGAGTTAGTTTGAATTAATCAGTGATACCAAAAGGGTTGATAAATACCGTATTTCTTCTAATAGTGCGACTTTCTCTATTAAACCGACCCTTTCTAATAAACCGACCTCCTAGAGGAGGGTTGAAAGTTGAAAAATAAACCGACGGTCTCTATAAACCGACTCTTTCTATTAAACCGACTCCCTTAATTTCATCGTTAATGTTGTGTTTTTTATGGCCGGTATTGGGATCCCGACCGGTATCGGGCGTAAACCGACCGGTCGCATTACTAGAAGAAATACGGTATGTCGGCTTTATTTTGTAAGTATTAAATTTCGGCAAGAAATATGCACAAAAAATTGTCAGAAAATATAAATTTAAATTATTAACTAAAATGCTTCTTAACAATTACCTAGTCAGTTGCTTTTCGACGTGTATTGACTGTTTTAAATTAAGTAAAATTTGTGGTTGAAATTGTAAATTTTCTGGTAAAGAAATTCTTTTTGGAAGACAACCAAGTGCTTGTCTAACATTTGAAAATTTTTGACGATTTTCGGCTGGGGAAGGAGTTTGGGAAGATAAAGGAGAGGATTGTTGACTGTTTGTACTTGTTGAAGTTGATGATGTATTTGAAGATAAAATAGGTGAAGTATTGACTCCGATAGCTATTGGCAATGTTTTTGCAAGACTGGAAAATTATTTAATTAACAAAATAATTAAAAACAGAGGGAGTTTAACAAAGGTATAACCACTGGGAAGAAGTCGGCCTGCAACCTCCTTGCAGTTATTGCTAGGAGCTTTGCTCACCCCTTATAAGAGCACTACCATTGAGCTACCGCATCGACTAATGCTTTGTCTCTTCACTTTTTGGCTTGGAATAACCCATAATAACGTGGAAGTTTGTACTTACTAAGAATAGAATTTAAAAATTTATAAAATATCAATGTCCGTATGTCATTTGCGGACACCAGTGCTGGGTATGGCTCCGGGAGCTAGCTCCGGAGCCCGGCTCCGGAGCCGGCTCCGGCGGAGCCGGAGCCGGAGCCGGAGCTAAGATTTTGGAAACCCCGGAGCCGGAGCTGGAGCCGGAGCCAAGAATTTCAAACCCCGGAGCCCGGAGCCGGAGCCGGAGCCAAGGTTTTCCAATTCCCCACGGCTCCGGCTATACACCCCTAAAGATGGGTTAGAGAAAAAGAAGTAAGCAAAGATGGTAGGCGTGAAAAGAAAAGGAAGAGAAAATTGAGACGGGTAAAAAAGATTTTCTTTCATTTTCTTTAAGAAAGATGCGTGGTTGACTGGATAGTGTGTTGGGTTCATATTTTAGAGGACTTATCTAGGTATTAGGTTCGAACCCGAACGTAATGAAAGACTTAGGATTTGTTTTTCTTTCAACAATAAATTATTATAATCATTTTTTTATTAAATGAAGCTTGATAAATTTTTCGAATTGATTAATTTTTGTCCTTAGGGTGTCAAATTTTTAAAATTTTTGCCTGCGGCGCTGAAAAAGGATGATTTTTGGCTTAAGGATCTTCCAAAATTATCAAAATTTTCGCCTGCGGCGCAAAAAAGGAAGATTTTTGGCTTAAGGATCGTCCAAATTTTTCAAAATTTTCGCGTGCGGCGCAAAAAAAAGAAGATTTTTAGATCCAGATCCCCTTAATCCCCCCGATATCGCCCTTAATCTACCTAAATCACAAGATAATCCACACAAATCCCGCTTAATCCATTGATAACCCTCTTAATCCTCTTATATCACTCGATATCCCCCTTTATCTACCCAAATCCCCAATGAAAAATAATTCATTGATTTTCCACCCGGAGCCCGGAGCCAACATGGAGCGGCTCCGAAAATCGCCGGCTCCGGAGCCGGAGCTGGAGCCGGAGCCAAGATTTTAAAAGGCCGGAGCCCGGAGCCGGAGCCGGAGCCAAGATTTTTAAACCCCGGAGCCCGGAGCCGGAGCCGGAGCCAAGAATTTGAAACCCCGGAGCCCGGAGCCGGAGCCGAGAACAAATGGCAAATACCCAGCACTGGCGGACACCATAGAAAAGAAAAATTTTTCCATCATGAAAAAGGGCCTCATCAAGAACACAATCTACGTGCAACTATCCAGCCCTATGCTGGATTATTCATATCCGTTCAAATCCTTATACAATTGCAGACATATTAGCCATTATAAACTTAAGCGATATTTAAGTAATTTTACCTAGCCAAGCCCGTAGACAGTCGCATTCCTCTAAATTGGTTATGCAGTGGTATTCCATTGTTATTTTGAGGGCTAGAAATTAAATGTTTAACAAAATATTTTTAATTAACGGATTACCGATGTAACCCTTCCATTGCTCTATTCCTCTCACCCAAATTTCCAGTAGGGAAAGGTAAAGGAGCATTTCCAATAGAATTATCACTAAAATAAAATTTAAAAAAATTACTCTTAAAAATTCCTTCCCACCTAATTCTTAAATTTTCTCCCCCAAAAAGAAATAATTGGTGAAATGCAGGATTATTTATTCCATTTTGATTATTTTCATTTTCAGCTGCTGGACGTGCTGAATTTGTTTGTGGGGGCTGTTGAGGGTAAAAATAGGGTTTCAATAAATGCTGATGACGTTGATTTTGATGATAATGTTGATGACTAGAATTGGATAATTTAATTAATATTTTATATCCATCCGCCCAAAAAATGTCAGCGTCCGCAAAATTTTTGCGGACTGTCCGCAAGTTTTTAAGGACAAAAATTTTTGCGGACATCCGCAATTTTGTTTTTCGCATTTTAGTATAAAATATTTACTTTAAGCCAATATGACGATGTTGAAATCTTCCAGAAGTTCCGCCACAATGAGGGTGTAATTGTACATGCTTCATCAAATTACCCCCAGTGCCCCCACCAGCAACGCCTGTACTTGAATTAGAACAGCAACATCGTGCAACTGATGGAGAGGATACTAAGAGAAGATATTTTTTAAAAAAGAATTATTTAATTTAATAATTCGAGGGGGCGAATTCCACTAAATTTATTCTTAAATTTTCCCTAAAGAATATTTTGTGTGGTAGTTTGGGGGAGCATTTTTGTTATAATCAAAGCTAAAATTCCATAATTTTAGAACAAAATTAATCTGTTATTCAATAAAAATTTTGAACATTTTCACCTTATGTGTGCATATAGTCAAAGGTATTTTTATGTTCAATCGACGTGAAAAACATCCGTGCTTTTTTATATTTAAAAGTGCATCAATTCACAAAAAACAATAAAAACAACACAAATAAAATGTTTTATTATAAGTGAAACAAATTGAAAAATTTTAAAAAATATTAGTGTTACATAAACATAAATACAAACAATATTAAAATTAAAGACAAGCATACATATGAGTATCTAAATTTAAAAAGTCCAACAAATTAAACAAAAATTTTAAAAAAATCTGAAAGGACACAGAAACACTGAAAGGAACAAACAAAAAATTGGGTAAAACCCTACGTGCCGCAAAGCCAACGTATCGCAGAGCTATATCCAGGACGCCCTGATATGGACGCCCTGATATGGTGCATCGAACAATAACATGTCGTCCAGGATTCGCCTATTTTGAACGAAGTTATAGCTCTGCGGTACGTTGACTTTGCGATACGTTGGCCTGCTCCCAAAAAAAATTAATTTTTTACATCAAGACTAGTAACAACCTCAATCAACTAAATATACCCTTCATCCCTCCTTCGTTTACTTCCCCTCTTTTTAGGTAAAATATTTTTGTTGATATCCGAATCCCCTTCATTTTTATCTTCAAAACTTTTAAGGCAATAATCACCTTCTATTGGGGTTTTTCCATTACTACTGGAACTACCCATACGAAATGCATTTGCACTGTTGTTTGATGATTGGGAAGAGAAGAGTGGATCCTAAAATAAGAATTCTCTGAAGATTTTAAAATTTTAGTACTATTTTTAAGTAGAAATTTGGATATATTATCAGGGAGAAATTTTGTTTCTGCATTTTTTTGCGGATAAATATAATTGCGGACATATATATTGGTGCATATCTAGATCCAATTTTACCAAAAATCTCTAGTTACCCTTACCCCCGTTAGTAGACACAGGTGATAACAATACCCTCAATTTAAGGAACATTCATTATAAGCTAAGATTTTTGGTCTTCAAAAGGGAGACGAGGTTTGACAGTACTTAAATCACTCATTCTCATTCCTTTCTAATTTCTACCTGGCTTAATTGACTGTCAAAAGCAGGCAAAGGTTCATGACAATGGCTTAAATGTTGTAATAATCCATATCCAGTTGTCTGTAAATTTCCATGAATTGCTGCATTAGCAAACATTAAAAGTCCAGAATTGTTAGTTTCGTCAATAATACCCTTTTTAAAAATAATTTTTTTTAATTTTATTCAAATTTAATAACTTCGTCAAAAGAATTAATTGTTCCTATAGTAGACTGTCTAGATAGGGAAGAACCAGCTGCAGAAGAACTTGAACAACAATTTTCTGATTCATAGTCTGATGTTGAGGGAAGCTATAAAATTGGGGGTTTTAGAGAATTATTTATTTAGATTTTTGCGGACAGAATTTGCGGACAAAATTTTGCGGACAAAATTTGCGGACAATTTTTACGGAAAAATTTTGCGGACAAATTTTTGTGGATAATTTTTGTGGAGATTTTTTTGTGGGCATTTCTTAAGGACACTTTTGAATGTAACAAAGAAAAGTTACCACAACTTGGCGTTGATCAAGCTGTTGCTGTCGAAATTGTTGCTGTTGAGCTTCAAGTACACCTTGAAGTTCTGGATTGGTAGAACTTTGAGGAATTGATGGTTGAGTTATTAGAGGAAACCCAGTTTTTATTTCTAAAGGAATTAGTCCATTTTGAAGTAAACTGGAAAAATACGAAGGTTAATAATTTAATGATTTAATTTATTTTTTTAAACTTTTTAGAATTTTGTTTAAAAGAAGCAAGACAACAACAACATTGACAAATCATAGGTCCACCTCCAACAATAGTAACACCATCTGATTGACGTCTGACTTTAGCTCCTCGAGTAACATTTTGTTGGAAGTGGAAAGAATCGGCGATAGAATTTTGTTTGTCTAAAAAATAATATATTTGCGAATAAAAATATTTTTTGCGGACAAAAAAATTTGCGGACAAAAAATTTTGCGGACAAAAATTTTTGCGGACCGACATTTGCGGACGCAATCCGTTCTATTTCAGAACTACATATTAGGTAAGCTATCCGTAAAATATGTATCGTTCAACCTTTATATTTACCTAGAATAAGTGTTGGTGCTGTAGCATTTTGAGGATTTATATTTGGTACTATAGTAGTAGTTACAGATGGAGTATTAACAGTTTTTATATTTTGTTCGTTTGTCTCGTCTGGAATTTTTGTAGCTTCTTGATTAATTGGTGGTTGTTGTGTTTGAGTATTTATTTGATTACCCGATTGGTTTGGGGAAAGGGAGGGTGATCCTCTTTGTTGAAGTCTTTCCAATAAAAGCAAGTAAATAGCTTGAAGATTGTCATAAGCATCAGCTAGAAGGGACTAAAATGAAAAAATATAAGTTGAATTCAATTAAACGGTCTAATATAATCTTAAATATAATAGGTAGGCCCAGGTACAAGAGGGACTTTCCCTTATGGATCCTTTCAATATAATGGATAGCGTGGACAATTATTATAACAATGGATAATTTATTAGGCAACTCAAGTCCATTATATATAATTAATGTGTAATCAATCAGGGTTCGAATTGGTTCCTTAAATTAAAGCTTTATTCGACTTGATCCTAGGAAAAATTCAAAAACTAATGTTTCTCAATCCAAATCTTGTTTTCACGTAATAATTTTCAATGAAAAAAGTTACAAACATTTTTAATTTTAACAGTCTCAATTCCAATATTATTCATTAAACGAAGGATTTGTGGATGTAAATCATTTAAATTTTTAGAAATTCCCTCAGTTGAAGATTTTGCCAAATCAAAAAGTGCTTGATATTTTAAATTAAAATCGTTAGAATGCATCCAACGATGCTGTTTAATTTGTTCGATTGTTGGCCTTTTTCGAGCATCTACTGTAAGCATTCGACGAATAAGATTTTCACAATCAGAGCTCATAAAGTAAGGAATTCTGATTCGACCGCTTAGAACTAAAAAATATTTTTTTGTGAATATTGTTTTGATTTAAAAAAATTTTTTTTGAAAAGTTAGGTAGTGTTAGGTGAATATTGAAAGTTCAATGATAATATACCCTACCTCCCCAATTGTTTTCAGCCTCTAATATCAATTAAATTACACCTTTGAATGGATTAAGAAAAAAGCTACCAAAATGGTCCTACTCGGCCAGAAAGCTTCTTTCTTGGTTAGAAAGAAGCTTCTTTCTGATCATGAAAGAAGTTTTCTGAAGAGACCCGACTCGGTCCGAAGGAAGTTCGGAAAGTAGCTCGAATGAAGTTAAAAAGAATCTTAAAAAATTGCTTCAAACTTCGATCGCTCGAAAGAGACACGATTAATTTAATTGCACTTGAAAAGAAGTCTTTCGATTAGCTTAGGATAGAAGATAGGTTTTAAGATTTATAGAGAATGGCTTTAAGAATTTAAGACTGGCTTCAATATTTGCTCGGCAAAAATTCCTTTGAGTATATTTTATTACGATTAAAAATTTCCTTATTTAACGCACCTCTTTCTTTCAACAATTGTAAATTGGCGCCTTCAAAAGGCAATGCTCCACAAACCATTACATAAAGAATAACACCGAGACTCTGAAAAATACTTTTTTCCTTTCTTGATTATTTAAATATTTAAATACCCAAATATCAATTTCTGGCCCAGCATATCTTTTCCCTTCAAAAACTTCAGGGGCGGCATAAGGCGGACTTCCACAAAAGGTATCCAAAGTATCATTTCGAGAGAAGAAATTTGAAAAGCCAAAATCCGCCAATTTAATTTGAAAAGTCGAATCAAGTAATAAATTCTCTGCCTTGAAAAATAAATTTTTTTATCCTAAAAAATCCCGATTTTCCCCTATTTCATTAAATTTTAAAATATTTTTTCTGTATTTTTTTTCCAATTTAAATTTAAAAATATTCTCCCTCAAAATATTTTCTTTAATTTTCCATTAAAATTTATTTTTATTGACGTCAAACACAAATCTTCTTTTTTGGTCTATTAATAAAAATCAGTTATAATGAACGGACTCAATAAATGTTTGGAAGAAAAAGTGAATGATGATCGGCATAAGTAAAGATGATTGTTCCTTCCTTTCCTCTCTTTTCTGAGAGAGAGAGAGAGGGAGAGAGAGAACGATCATCGCCTATTAACGTCAATAAAAATAAAATTAATTTTTTATGTTTTTTATGACGTCTTGAACTCTCTAAATATATTTTCTACAAAAATTTCCGGTTTGGAAATTTTTGTGGATTTAAATTAGTGAACAAATATGTAATTTGTTTTTTTGCTGAGGATATTTTTTAAATTCGAATTTCCGGACAAGTAATTCCGGATAAATAATTTCACTATAAAAGGGGTATCAAATATCTTATCAAACTAAATACACGTTAATCACTGGCGAAAGTATGTGCTAGAAATAGAGATAGGATCAAATACCGTATTTACTCAATAAATTCCCCTGAGGAATTATTTTTTCAACCCATGCGTGGCATGGGGAATTATTAGGGGGTGGGGAATTATTCGAGTTTTGAAAATTGAACGTGTATTAGAATATTTGGGGGTGGGGAATTATTCGAGTTTTGAAAATTGAACGTGTATTAGAATATTTGGGGGTGGGGAATTATTCGAGTTTTGAAAATTGAACGTGTATTAGAATATTTGGGGGTGGGGAATTATTTTTTCAATTTACCCCTGGCATGGGGAATTAATAGGGGGTGGGGAATTATTCGAGGATGGGGAATTAATCGAGTAAATACGGTAAGTATTTGACGTTGGAAAATCAAACATTTGATCAAATTTTATTTGATTTTATTGATCAAGTATTTGTTTGATGTGTTTTGAAAAGAAATCAAACATTTCCAAATATCAAACTATTTGATTTGTTATTTGATTTTGCCGTTTGTCCAATTTCTAGCTAAACCGTGGGACCGTTTTTTCAAAAATTATTAGGCTTTTGATTTTTTTCGGTAAATATCGGTTTACTAATGAATATTTTAAAAAATTATAAGGAAAAATTCTTTTGAAAATTTTTATAAAACAAAAATTCACCTTAAGATCTCTATGAACAATATTAATATTATGTAAATAATCAACAGCCGATATTATCTATAAAATAATTTTTTGACTAAATATTTTTAATAAAATTTATTTGCCTGCCAAAATTTTTCTCTAGCATTTTCTTCAGTTAATCTGTGCTGTTTTGATATTAAATCTTTAAAAAAAATTTTAGATTAAATCCAAAATTTAATTTTACCAAATATTTCACCATTTGGGGCATATTCAGTAACCAAATAAAGCATATTATTTGTCTCCATTACCTTTAGATATTTTTAAATTAATTAAAAAAATTTTTCTAAAGAAAAATACAGCGAAACTTATTTTTTAAATAACACCTTAGGATGAAAATTTAAAAAAATTTAAAGATAGAGTTCCTTATCTTTAAATTTTCCTCCTCAATTCAGTGGATATTAGAGATGGGTATTTTTGAAAAGCCTGGGCCTGTCCCTGGGTTTGATTAATTGACCTGGGCCGGATCCTGGGCCTGTAATCCAGGGAAAACACAGTCACGGAAAAACCCCAAGGAAGGTCAAAAAATGCCCCGATTCTTGGTACAGTAAAACTCAGGCCTTGGTCAAAACCCAGGCCGATAACTAGTGACATTGACCAAAGAAAAAAAATCTTAACTTAAATTAAGGATTATTTAATATTGGGCGTATTTTATAGTAAGGTATGCAAGGATTAACAGTTTTAAATTTGTTTAAAATTTGAAAAAATAAAAAGAAATTAATTAAATATTCACTTGATAAAGCCTAACAATATGTGGATGTCTCAACCTTTTAAGCACCTCAATCTCTCGATATATTTTGGCTAAATTATTTGCATCAAGACGGCGTTTATCAACAATTTTTATTGCTACCTGAAAAGAAAATTTAAATTTTTTTTTAATTTTCTTTATTATTTACAGAAAATATTTTTTATTTATTATTTTTAAAGAGTCAGCAAAGCTAAGAAATTTTTTCGTTTTTCCAAGAAATAATTTTAACTATCCCGAATATTTATAATTATTTTTGATTAATATTTTTGTAAACAATTAAATAAATTGACTGTTTAAAATAGAATTTTAGGTTCAGAATCGAACAGAAGAACTGAGTATTTTTCGGCTCTTCAGTATTTTCAATAACCGACAACCTTAGATTAAGAGGAGACCAGTGTTTGGAATTTTAAAATTTTCTCGTACTCGTATTTCGTACACAAGAATGAGTAAAAATTTTGGTTCGAGCTTCCAAACACTGGTGGAGAACTGACTGAGAAAGTCGTCAAGAATCGAGATTTCAAAAAATATCATCTAGATAACCAAGATTCTTGATCGAGATCTCGTCTGGAACTGATCTCGTCTTAAGGCAATTTTATTTTTATTTTATTAGCCAAACCCCAATCTAATTTTTATTTTAATTTTATTATTCAGATTTTTAATTAATTAATTAATTGTCTAATTAAATCAATATTTTAATTAATTTTTAATTAATATTTTTATAAATTATAAAATTTTATTTTTTTTGCGTCAATAAACAGAGGGAGGTTATTTACCTATCATTAAAATAAAATAATGAGGACTGACGACAATAATAAAAAAAAATATTTTTTTACGTCAAACCGATCATTAATAAATATTTTTTAATTAAAAAAAATAAATTTTTTAAGTTTAAAAAATAATTGGAATTTAAAAGTATTTTTGGAATAAATTAAAATTAAAAATTAATTATTGGGTAGTTCCGGTAGAATTTTTTTTGAGATTATTAAATTCATTTTTTTTTAATTTTATTGGCTATTATTATTTTTAAAAATTTATTTATTTACCTCTGTTTTGGTTATTCTGTGTTTTGCTAGTTTAACAACTGCATAATTGCCTTTTCCGATAGTTCGGCCAACCTCATAAAACCCAACCTAGAAAATTAAGAAATATTTTTTAAATTTTTAGAATTTAGATTGTTGAGAAACTTGTGAATAAATATTTTTGATTTTTTGAGAATTTTAATATTTTCCCCCGAGGAATTAATATTTCAACCCATCCGTGGGATGGGGAATTATTCGAGGGAGGGGAATTATTCAAGGGTGGGGAATTATTCGAAGGAAGGGAATTTTTACGGTAGCTAGACATGAGTTGTATGAGTATATGTTAAGATATTTAGGGATCGTAAGTTCCGAAATCGGTCATTTATTTTTCTATGTTAGCATCCCTGGGATGAACTAGACGATCTAAAAATGTTTTCCGATCCGAAAGATCGAGTCGGGCATCGAATTTTGGCCTGAAAAAGACTCGGTTGGACCGGCCCGATAAAAATGAGGCCCAAAAATGACCCGAATGTCGGCCCGACTCGAAAACCCCACCCCTAACTATATTTAAGGCTAGTGTTATATTAAATTAAGTTTAAATACCTTAATCAAAAAATTTGCTAAATTTTTCATTTTTAAAAATATTCTAAGATTAAAGAAAAATAAAGAGAATAGTTTGTATTTGAATAAAAAAATAAATTTCAAAAATTTAAAATAAAATATTTTTTTATTTTCTATTTTCGCCCTATTTTCTACGCAATACAAAATAAAAATAGCAATCAGCTGCAGGGCTGTGCGCCAAAATTTTTGCGTGGCGCGCCAAACGCCAAACGCCAATTTTTTAAATTTTAAAAACACGCCAAACGCCAAACGCCAAAAATCGGCCAAAATCAACGCCAAAACGCCAAACGCCAAACGCCAAACGCCAAAATTTTTAGAGTCTATAAAGACTTAAAAACCACTGTTCATCTCATTTTAGCGCCGCAGGCGAAATTTTTTGAATTTTCAAGATTCCCAGAAGCCAGAATTCATCCTTTTTTACCGCCGGAACGAAATTTTTGAAAATTTTGGAGGCAAAGAAGCCGAAATTCATCCTTTAAAAAATTTAGAAAAAAAAGAAAATCGTAGAACTCCTTTAGATTAAGGTGGATATGAAGGGATAAAGGTTGTAATGAGTATAACAGAGGTCATGAAGAGAGTAAACGATTGACGTGACTAAAGTTTTTTTCTACCATTTATTCGTTTAAGATCCTCCTTTAAGCGCCGCAGGCGAAAATTTTGAAAATTTTGGAAGTCCAAGCAGTAGAGTTCTTCATTTTTTATGCGCCGCAGGCAAAAATTTTGAGAATTTTGGATGACTGTATGCAGAAAAATTTCCTTTTTCGATCATCCCTTTCTCCATTTATTTAAAAAAATTCCATCATTAGGGGTGTATATTTTTGGCGTTTGGCGCGCCAAAATCGGAAAATCACGCCAAACGCAAAACGCCAAAAATCGGCCAAAATTAACGCCAAAACGCAAAACGCCAAACGCCAAACGCCATGACGCACAGCCCTGATCAGCTGTACATTTAGAAAATTAAAAAAAAAATAAAGCAAAAATTTAAAAAAAAAAATTTGTAGTTTATTTTTTGAAATTTTTAAAAAATTTAAAAAATCAACGAATAAAAATTTTCTATTTTCGTCAAACTTTTCTCTCCAAAATAAAAAAATTATAAAAAAAGTATAAAAATTAACATGAATAAAGAATGTTTTAATTAGCGTCCAAAAAACAAATGAAAAATTAATTTGGGTTCTGGAATGTATTCACCCACGTTTTTAGAAAGTTTTTGGGGCTGAATAATCTTAGAATTGAATTTGTGTCTTAAATGGAGATCAAAGCTCGGACTGGAAGGACCAAATTTTAAAAAGGTATCCTAAATAAAGACGTATCTAAATGGTATCCTAATGAGAAAGTATCCTAAATGGATCTTGATAAAATCTTGATAACCGAGATTTTCGATCGAGATATTGTCTCGGTCAGGTCTCTACAGAGAGCATCGCTTAGAGTTGTTTTGGAACGGAAATAGAAATGTCAAAGCTTTGGTATTGTTTAAGCAGCTCTTTAATCCAGTGCCTAACCAAATTTTAAAAACGTACCGTATTTTCTCTAAAATAACCCTCGGGGGTTATTTTTTCGATCGACCTATAGAGGCGGATATTTTAGAAAGAGGGGGGGGGGTTATTACTTAATAAATACGTATCAAAATGGTATTGGAGGTTTTTAAAGAAGAGGTTTTAGTTTAAATTGAGGTCCTAATGCATAGAAATTTTCAAAAATTATTTTTAAAAATATTTCAAAAAAATATTATTTTTTTTATATAATTACTTTTATTGTTTCGGGTCTCTGTGTTGTTGTAATTTCCTTTTGAGGGATATTTTCATTAATACAAGTTAGTGGTTGTTTTATTTGTGTTTTGGATTGTTGATATTTATCTTCGCCTAAAGGCGCTGTTTCGCTATTGTTGGTGTTGGGCTGTTCCCCAACAAGTGATTTTTGTTTTTGTTGTTGACTTTGTACCATTCTAATTTTTAAAGATAAAATTTTTAAACAAAAAATTTTTAAAAATAATGAAAATTAAGGTTAATAAACAATGAAAAAGTTGAGGGAATAATTAAATTAAAGAAAATCTGGATATGAGGAAATTTCCTAGTCTGATTTAAAAATAATAAATAAAATTTCAAAATTTTGCCATAATAAGAAAGAGATTAGTAAATTTGCTAGATAAATGCTAGAATATTGAAGTAAATTTTGATTTAAAAAATATATCTTTGTCTCTAAGGGATCCGAAAAGAGTAGTATTTAGTAGAGTAGTAAGGATTTTTAGGGATCCGAAAAGAGTACGGACATACGGAATTTTTCGCTTAGGATATCAGATTTGCATGTCTGAATAATCCCTAGAAATTCCATTAATCAGCCACCTTTGAAGGCCTTTTATTGACAATTAATACTGTATATTCACAAAAATTTTTATTCAAAAAATTTCGTTCGTTTATAGAATTGAGGTAGTTTTTATTGTGTTTAATCAAGGCAAAAAATACATGTGGAATTTTTAAAATTTTGTTTTGAATAGAGGTAAGGGGATAATAAAGGAAAAAGGTAGAAAAAAGGGTTCACAAGTGGGAATTTTTAAAATTAATTGTGGGGTTTTTAAATAATTAAATTATTTTTACTTTACAGACAGCCCTCTAAGAAATATAAAAAAATAATTTTTTAATAAATTTAAAAAATTTAAAATTTAATGCATTAATTTGTCAAATAAAAAAATTTTTTAAATAAAAATTAAAGAAAGCAATTTTTAAATCAATTTAACAAAGAAAAAAATTTTTTTAAAGAAAAAATCATTAGCGTCGATTAAATAAAAATTAAAAAGTAATCAATGCTTTTCCTCTTTGAAAATTAAAAAAAATAAAAATAAATAGAAAAATAATAAGAAAAATAATTCTAACATAAAAATAAATCCTCCGTAAGGATTAAAATGTTCTCATTTAAAAAATATATTTTTTAATGAAGAAAAAGGTAGAAAAAAGGGAAATTGTAAAAATTTATTTAAAAATTTATAGACATTAAACACACGCAAAGGGGGAGGAGTTGAGGAGTTTTCTTTGAATTTTAAAAGCTAGCTTTTAAATTTAAAAATACTTTTTTAAAGGAAATATATTTTTTTATTAACAGCTGTAATAGTGACAATAAAAAAATAAAATAATAAATGATGAGAAAATAAATAATAAACTATAAAATAAAATAGTATAAAGATGGGCGAACGGCCCCCATCTTCATTCCTTAAACTCTCCTCTATTTTTTGTGTCCCTCCCCCCTCTCCCCCTCCCTCTACTCCCATTTCCATTATACCCCCAAACAACCTCCTCTTCCCAACGTTCTCCCCTCCTCCCCAACATCTTCTTCCACTTCCCAAACCCAGGAGGGTTGGTGAGAATGATGCTGTTTGGAAGGGAAGGATCCCTTGTCCCTCCCCCCCCTGTTTGGAAGGGAAGCTGTTTGGAAGGGAAGGATCCATTCCAAACAGCATCCTCCTTCCCACCAACATCCTCCTTTCCCATCCTCCCTTTCCTACCCAACATCCTATACCCCCAAACATCCTCCTAATAGCCTCTTCCCTCCTAACAGCATCCTTCTCCCCAACATTCTCCTTTTCCCATCATCCCTTTCCTCCAACATCCCACCACCCTAAACATCTTCCTATTATAAAAGCCTCTTACCCACCCAACATCCTATCCCCCCCCCAAACATCCTCCTAACAGCCTCCTCCCCTCGTAATATCCTCCTTCTCCCCATAAACATCCTTTATCCTCTTCTTTCCCTTTTTAAAATGCTTTAAAAAAGCGTTCGACCTCCGACGTAAATTCTCTCCTCTTCAAATATTATTTGCTTTGCCTAAAGGTGACAGCAAAAAATGCTTTCCTCTCATCTCGCTGAGTTTTGACGTAGTTACCCCCATCCATTGTGCGTGTTTTATTTTTTAATGCGGTTGTCTATATTAATTATTATTTTTCTTGTTTTTGCTCAAGCCAATTATATCTTTCTAATTAAACAAGAAATAAATGAAAATGAAAATTTATATTTAAATTAGAGAAGAGGGAAAAAATTTTTTTCTCTCAAAAATTTTTAGGAAAGACTTGTTAAAATATTTAATAAATTTTACAAATTTTCAAGAGGAGATTTTTTAACTTTAAAAATAAATAAAAATTAGGAAATTGGAATAAAAAACGATAATTAATTATAGTGAAAGGCTGGCAAAAGTTTAGCAACTTGGTAGGCATCATCGACTTCATGTAAGATATAGTTAGGAGCTTCTGCTCACAACGTGCAGATCAGGGATCGCGCCGACCCGATTAACGATTCCCGAAAATCGTGAATTTGGTTTTCTGTTGGCGCGATCCCTGGTGTATGTAGATACTCTATCGAGTGAGTCACCAAGCATGGTTGTCGGTTCTAGGAAAATCTTTTCGGATATCTGGAACCGACAATTTTTTAGTTTGTTTCTTCGGTTCTGTTTCGGATTTTCCAAGAACCGACAATCCTACTCATGACAGTAGTACCCTAACAATAAATTCCAGGAAGTTGAAAATATGCAGCTTGATTTCTCCTATTTTTACATTATTAAGCAGAAAAATTTTTTTCAAAGAATTAAAAATTAAGAAACCCCCAGAAAAATTAAAATAATTTGAAAAAATATGTAAATATTTTAATCAAAAGTTGAAAATAAAATCTATTTTAAACAATAAAATAACTAAAATGGCAAATAATATTCTAATAAATTAGCAGAAAATGTGTTTTCTTAATGTTTCTGTTTTTAAGTTTTGTGTATTTATTTTTATAAAATTAAAACGTAAAACTAGAATAATAAAGAATAATTTTTCAAAGTTTATTTAAAATAATTCAGTTAAAAAGCATTGAAAAGACAAAGGAGAAATTTGCAAGGGTTTGTGACCTCATCCTACAAAAAGCACCAAAATCTTCGAATTTTTCTCAGATTTTTTTTTCTCAATTTTGGAAGTATCGATTTGTTTCAAAATAATTTTGGAAAATTTTTCTCTACATTTTTTTTGAAAAAACCGAAAAAAAATTTTTAAACAATTCTGAGAATTTAAAATTTATTTAAGAGATTAATATTTTATGTGATTCTCAGAGTTTTTGAACCAAAAAATTTTTTTGTTAAATAAAAATTTTTATGAAAAACAAATAATTTAAAAATTAGTGAGTCATTACTATAATTCCTTAAATTTTTTAACTTTTAAAGTATCTAAGATCAAAATAGATATTTAAGAAATAGGTATGTATCTAAGTTTAATAGAATACGTTGTGTACCGAGTAATTGAGAAAAAATCGAGCTCGAGAAAACCGAGCGATTGAGTCGAGTCACTCGGTTAGCCCTAGAGTTGATCAAAACGATACTAGTATCGGCCAACCCGAGACCGAGATTGGCCGATACTCGAGAACCCGATACCGAGACCGATACCAACATTTTGAGCCGAGACCGATACCGAGAAACGATACTGACCGAGACTAACAAAAATTTTTATTTTATGTCAAAAAATACGAGTAAAAATAATTTATTCATTATTTTCATCATACAAATCATCAGATAAATACTCTTCATCATCTGGATCAGATCTGGCTTGGCAATGGATACTAAGTTTTGTCCGTATCCCTCATAACGCAAACTCAATGCGCTCATCCCTGCTTCCGATCATTTTAAATCCCCTTAATCCACTGGTGGGAACAACAGTTGCCGAAAATCGGAAGGCTCTGTAATAAAAATCTTGAAAATCTAACGGCCGAGGTCTCGGAAAATTCAACATTTCAGCGCCGCAGACGAAAATTTATTAAATTTTGGAAGGCCAATTCACCAAATTTCTTCCTTTTTCAGCGCCGCAGGCGAAAAGTTTTTGAATTTTAGAAGACCTTATTCGAAAAAAATTCACTTTCTCTGTTATGGACGGATATCCGAAAAAAATTATGGCCGAAAACTTGGACAATATTGAGAATTTTGTTCCTTTGAGTCAGTATCGTTTCTCGCCGAGAAATGGACCGAGAATATCGGTATCGGTTTCGAGACCGAGAATGAAAAAACCGAGACCGATATTGGAAAAAAGCCGAGAATCTCGGTATCTGTCTCGGTATCGGTCTCGTCTTGATCAACTCTAGTTAGCCCTGATCATTATTTTTTAAAACCCTTTAAATAGAGAAAAGTTATTTAGTAAATAATTTTTATGTGTGGGCAATCTGCTTAAATAAATTATTGTTTAAAAAACAAAAAAAAATATTTTTAAAAATCCAAGAAAAATTAGCTTATACGGAAGTAACCGAATTGAAAAGAGGACAAAATTGAGTTAAAAAAGCTTTGAGGAAAAGCTTAAAATATGTGATGAGGTCGATAAATATATTTATTTATTAGTAGAAAGAATGGTATTTAAAAGTAAGTAGCAGGTGTGGGAGACAATCCAAACAAACAATAGAATTTTTTGAATTGGAAGAGGAAGGGAAATAAAGAATCTGATGACGTCAAAATTTTTCTTTAAGGATGGAAATGAAAAATTTTAACGAAAAAAATTTTTTGTCGCTGAAAAATGTCGGGGAGAGAAGGTGATAAATAAAATAAATTTGTCATTTACAGGAAGAGCGGAGGTAATTTTTGCGGACAAATAGTTGCGGACAAATATTTGCGGACAAATTTTAAATTTCTCTATAGAAAATGAATTAAGATTGGGAGGCGTAAATTAAAGTTGGATTAAATTAGAAAACGGAAGTCAGCCTAAATGACGAAGTTGCCGAAACTAGGAACTGTTGGAATCGTAAAGAGACCCCTTAGGCCTGAAATTTTTTTAAATCTCATAACGAGGGTAGCTTAAATAGCGGAGGTATTTTTGCGGATAATTTTTTTGAATTAGAAGAGGATGGGACTCGGAACTGTTGGAATCGGAAACAGAGGGGTATCTTCATTTAAGGGGTATCTTCATACCCCTTTAAACAGCTTCCGCCCCCATGACCAACTACACCTTAAAAAGCATCCTAAATTGAGGTGTTCAATTAGCAGATATCTTAAGTAAGAGTTTAATCTAGTCCTACACGCTCGACATGCACTATATTTTTTGTCTGCAAATGTCGTCAAGTAGAAAAAAAATTTGCCTATTTTGGACATTTTAATTATTTATTCATTAATTCATATGAATAAAATATTCTGTTGGCATTAAACAACTCTTTGACATTTTTTAAAAAAAGAATAAATGTTCTTTCTAGTTTATTTAGTCTCTACTTTTATGCTTTTACATATGTCATTGCCATTTTATTTATTTATTCAAGCAGTGGATAAAAGAGGGTTGAGGCTATACTTATTTTTTAGAAGCTTTAGAAAGTAAGGGGCAAGACTTTTTACCGCAAGCCAAGTACGGCGCGAGGTCATAACTTAATTTAGAAAAGTCAGAGCTCGTCAATTTAGGCACCAACAGACTCAGCACGATGAGACGCGTCGAACCATACCAAACTTGACTAGGTGCAGACTTTACTAGGGTTGATGCTAAGACCCGCGCCAAGTTGGCCGCGGTAAAATGTACCCATAAGAATGAGAGAAAATGAGAGAAAATAAAAAAATAAAAAGTGTTCTTAAATATTACGTGGTTATTATTTATTATTTTTTTTTAAAAATATTTTTTTTCAAATAAAAAAAATGACGAGAGAGGTATTTATTTGATATTAATTGGAAATTTGAAACAAAAGAAAAAAAATTTTTTTTAGAATTTTTAAGGGGAAATACATAAGAAAATTAACTTCCTTAATTTTTAAAATTAAAAAAGTGACTGAAATTTAAAGGAAAAAAAAGTTTTTTAATTTAAAAAGAAATATTTTTTAAATAAATTAATTCTTTACATTTTTAAAAAAAAATTAAAAAGCTTTAGAGCATTTTTGTTTTAAGAAATAAGAAAAGCTTTTTAATGACGTAAATGGTTAGAAATTGAAAAAGGAAAGAAAAAGCTGAAGTAGTGGGGGTGTTTTACATAGTAGGCTTTAAGGGGGGAATTGAAAGAATAGAGAAAATAAAATATAAAAAGTTTTTTTCTGGGACTAAATTCGAGATTTATATAAAAATCTATGTTGTATATAAAGACGGGACGTTACCGTATTACGACGGTATTTATCGGTACATATTACAGTCGGCAATGCGGTACGGAATACGGCAAGGTAAAATTCTGAATTTATCAGTATTTATCGATATCGGTATTTTTCTGTATTTTAATACTGAATACCGTTCAGTACGAAATTCCGGTCTCTAGATTATATAACAGAGGGTGGTAGGAATTATGGTCGAAATTCTGACTTCCAACATCTTTCTCTAGTTTTCGGCAATTTATTAAATTTCCTAAATTACCATGAAAGTTGACCATTTTTAGGGTAAAATAAATATCTAGTAAATAAAAATTTATACATAAACGAGGTATATATACAAAATACTATAGTAAAATAACATGTAAGGTAAAATAAAAAAAATTTCTAAATAAAAGAATTATCTGGGACATCAAATTTTTTATCTGGGCATTAAGGTTGGTCCTCAACCCCGATTCAGTTCAGTTCCGTCCAAGACTGTCAGGAATTGCGGATTTTAAAATTACGGATCGTGACTGCAGGAAATTTTTTTCAATTGCGGATAGTCCTGGCTTCGTTCCACCAAAAAACTTCTGCAAGATGGGTTGTGGACCAACTCTAATTAAGTCAATTAAAAAATAAAAAAATTGCAGAGAGCATTAAAACTTTAAAATGCTATAAATTTACAAAATTTTAAATTTTATCACAGAATCTGATATCTGATTTGAATATTATAATACAATAATCTCATAATTTTCTTGCTGATTAAAAAATATTTTTATAATTTACTCCATCGAATAAAAGCTAATAATTGTTTTCTTAATTTTCTAAAAAATATTTATTTACAAATTTAGGACCATTAATTACCTG